TCGTCATCTGACGCAAAATCGTCATCTGAGGCAACAACATAAATATACAATTTATACAAAAGATTGAAACTTCAGACTACCCCTCCTGCCATTGCATATTAATAGAAAAAAAAAAACTCAAGAAACTCGCTCAAAATTATCATATCTTATCATCTTATCCAATTTTATATCCAACTTCTCGTTTCTATTGTCTTTGCAAATATTCAATTTATTTCTTGAAAATATGGGAGGTAAGCTTCGATTTTAATAGCAAACCTCCCATATGGTCAAATGAACTGCTAGCAAAATCCTTAAGAGTCCTATCAACAAGGAAGTCAAGTTATCTGACGTTAATATTTGGGGATACTTTATATCTTTGCGTGGTGTTATTACTTTGGATAAAAAATTTTATATGTTCGGTGACCACGAGGAGTTAGAAGAAAATGTAAATTAATAGAATAATTTAATTATTAATTGATTTATTTGAACCAAAAAAGTTTATAATTAAATTTTTTTATAATATTTATAACGGTACATGCATTAGAAGGTTTTGGAGAGATATTCTTTGCAGGAATTCGCTATGTGAGTTATTAACTTTGAAAATTCATAATCCGTTTTATTATTCATTTCAAATCTTATACTTTTATTTTTTTATTTAGAATGAAAGAAACGGGGCCACATTCGAAAGTTTAAGGTTTTTAAACTTTAAACATAATAATAATTTTCATGTTTATTTACAGTAGTTTTATGTAAATTCAAATAATCGCCAAAGATGGAATACAAATAAAAAGAAAGAAGTGGGAAAAGGTGGCGCTTAAAGAGAGTTTTCGATTTACAAGATGGGATTCTCTTACGATTTAAAAATGTAAGTGCAATTTATTATAAGTTTTGGATCGACATTTTATCTTAATCTATCGTTACATGGTAGATGAATTTCGCACCGCAAATTTCTCGCAATGCATTTGTAATAACATAACAGTAAGTCTTTAAATTCTGAATTTAAAAGGATAGTTTTTTGTATGTTTTTGGACATGTGGAACATTACTTTGTATTCTGATTTATAATTATTGATATAACTTTCATTTGATTTTATTTACTTTTTAATTTAGAATTATGATGAAGCTAATCAAGGTACAACTAATTCATAATATTGTGAATTCTTACAGAAACTACTAAGTTATTATTTCGACATATGAATTAAGTCTTTCGTCCGGTAGTTTGAGTGTAGTGAATTGTTTTCTACACAAATATGGGAGGTAAGCTATTATAATCACGTTACGGATCATATGATTTACTATGTTTCGAAACTTGATTTAATAGCAAACCCTTCATATGAGTTCGTATAAAGGCTTGGAGGGTATATATTATATTATATTTTAATTTATGTTCTTCATTTTATTAATTACTGATTTATTTATCATTATAATTAGTGGTGGATTTGGAAATGTCCGTCTCGTAAGGAAAATTGATGATGGACAATTATTTGCGGCGAAAGTTTCTAAAGCTTCATTGCAAATGGAATACCATGCAATGAAAAGAATTGAAAGATTTGGTCAGTTAATAATTTAATATATTTATATAGAAATTTACTAATATATTTTTTTTCTTTATAGGCCTGAGTCGTGAAAGCACGTGAAGCATTTCACGATAATCAATCAAAAAATTATTACTTGATAATGGATTGGTATGTCGTTTATTATATATAGCTTAATTTAAATTAATATGCTAAAGACCGTTTTACTTTTATTTTTATAGGGTCAGGCACAATTCATTATCGACATGGATCCAGAAACAAAGCCAAACTGATGGTGAAATTCTGAGAAATATCATAAGAAGTCTGGTGCCTAATCTGAAAGTTAGTATTACATTAATTAAATAAATTCATAATTATTTTGTGATCATTAATATTAATTTATTCAGTATTTTATAGTTAATCCATGAAAGAGGATGGCTACATAGAGATATTAAACCCGATAACATACTTGTGGCGAATGAAAGACCTCTTACATTGTTAATTACAGATTTTGGATTAAGTCGTAAACTTAGTTCAAATCCCTGTAACGCATGTGGTACCCCATTATTTTGTAATTAATTTTTTTAAATTCAATTTTTTAATTTATTTTGCTAACTAACATATATATTTATACTTAATAAACCTCAAAACGCATCTGCAGATTGGTGGTCACTAGGACACCTGTTCTTTAGTATTTATAAGGTAGGTTGTTTGTTGCAACCTGTAAAGATAGGTTTAAAGGATTTATTATTAGATATTGATCACAGGTTGCAGCTAATTAAGAAATGGAACGAACCTGATATAAATAGAATGATAATAGCGGGAATTCGGATGGTAATTAATACATTTGTAATTTATTTTTATTATTTAATGAAATAATATATTAACTATTTATAATTCATAGTTGCAGAATTCATAGTAGCATATATTAAATTGGATATGAAGGAACGATAATACGAAAATATCATTGTAATTATTTTTTTTAATTTTTGTTTATTCTAATAATTGATACAAGCACTAAATATAATATTTCTTTTTATATAGAAATGCAGGAAAAGGTGGACGAAGATGGCAAATAATGAGAGAAATTATCTCAGATATAGCATTGCAATTACACCTCGTATGGATTTATCACAAACAAAACAGAGAGAGGAATGAATATTTCTATTATTATAAAAAAAAGTTCTAATAGTAGAAAATACGCACATTCATAAATGAATAAATTCTATTGAATTGCTGTCTTAACCTTGTAAGATTTGATACGTTGTTAATTTTCAGTTTCATAAATTACCCTCAATACATGGAATTCATAATGGAATAATGTTGATGTAAATTAACGATGTAATTAAAATTATTTCGAATAAAAGATTGTAAATTTATTTAATTGGAATATTTGCAAAATTTAAAATATAAAATTTAGTAAAATTCTATTTTTTTTTGATAGTTCTATCAGCGCAAAAATGTATATATTAATAATAATTATCTATTATCTATTATTTTAAGGTTTTGACATTTCAGACATTCTTATAGAATTATATAGGAAAGGAATAAATTAGCTGGATATGCAATAAATAATATAAAGAAGAATTAATTTCTATTTTTTAATATAATTTAAAATATATAAAATTATTATCACGTGTCTTTAATTTTATTGCTTAAAAATCACGCGATAAAATTTTTTGAAATTTTATAAGTTTAATAAATACGATCACGACCACGACCAACTCCACCTCTTTCATGACTATTTAATTATATTAATTTATATGAAAACTACATTTTAAATGAAATTTCTGATGATATTATAATAATATTTATTCTTACTTTCAGCTGATTTATTATTTTCTTGAACTTTTCGGTATGAGGACATATAGAACATTACTGCGCCTTAGTATGGAGACTCAGACGTCCGATCACTAGAACATTAAAAAAAAAAAGATTTTCATGAGTGCGTAATTCTGTTTCATTATTTTATAAATTGATGCTATTAAGTTTATTTTTTGAGACTAAACAAAAAGGACATGGGTAATTTATATGACACTGCGCCTTCTAAATCACAAGATGGCGGGTTTTAAACTTTTGAGCGCCACTGTAATTGCAGCCACCTTTGGTAGCCATTCATGGATGTTGTTTCTTGTCTGTTGGAAAAGTAACTGTTTATGTACCTTCCCTTACAAACAACAAATTAAATGGCGTTCATGTGCAGGACTACTTCTCATTTTCTGAACGCTCCTTCTTGAAGCTACCACCATCGCAATGCTCTGGCTAAAGATTAACACGTGTTTTCTTTAAATAAATGATCCTTTAACAACTGTTTCATTAAGTTGGTTGAATGACAAAAAGAATTAAAGAAACTTCGAATTTTCAATCAGTAATTCTTATATTGTTCCGTATAAAATAAAGTTTACCATTAGGAGTTGTTTCTCAAAATCTCGTAAAATTTCAGGAGCCAAACTAATGTCATAGGTTCCCTCCTTATAAAATGGATCTATTCGAACCTCCATAAAATAATAACAGATTGTTTCTTATTTTAATGATTTGTATACTTAATAGATTATCGGGATGGTGAATCTACCATAGATTAAAAACGATCAAATAAATCATTTTGATTATTTAAATCAAGTGTCAAATGCCCTTAATAAAAGAGATATTCGAATCGTTAATGATGATTCTGTACTAGACAGAAGGTAGTTCTTTTGTATTATAAGAATAAAAAATTTTTTAATTTTAAGGCAGTAGATATATACAACAAGAATATCTATTACAACAAGCGAAAAACATACTTCCTCGCTCACAGTTTCATCTCTATGAAGAGCTGGAGGGACTAATGCAGGAGGTTGGGCCTACCAAAGCCTTCGGATACTTAGAAAGGAACGTTATTTAGAATATGCAATACCAACTTTCATTACAGAACTTTTTACTTTTTAATTATGAAAAATGCTATCAACAAAAACATCTTGTAAAAAGAAGTTTTACCGGTATCGTTCGTGTTTTATCTTTATTTAATTCAAAAAAAGGATTATTCATTAATTGATTTTGTATTAATATACGTTAATTACTTTAATTTAATTTTTTAATTTTGAAAGATTGATTTGAGTTTACCCTAGTTTTTTTGACTTTCGATTTAGATTTCTAAATTATTCAAATTGAATCAAAATAGCGATTTGTTTATTTTAACTTATTATATTAAATTTTTTTTTTGGAACTTTTAATGAGTTTCTACAGGTGCCACCTTAGTTAGTATTTAAAACTAAAAATTTATCCTAAAAAAAAGACAATTCTTTATTAGTTATAATAAATATAAATATAATTAGTTAATAAATTTCAATATAAGCCTTTCGTTAAGATTTACTTTTGATCGAAATGTGATCTTAGCCACAACGCCATATATATAAAATTGATTATCAAGTTTTTAAAACCTTACTTAAAAGTATCACTTCTACCAGTTTGCATATTCAAATTCGCGACTTTATTTTTTTTTGCATACAAATTAAATTTTTCTTCTAAAAAGATGGTCAAAAGAACTGCTAGTCAAATCCTTGAGAGCCCTATCAACAAGGAAATTAAATTATCTGATGTTAATACTTGGGGATATTTGATATCTTCAAACGATGTTATTACTTTAGATAAAAAGTTTCATATATTTGGTAATCATGAGGCGTTAGATGGAAATGTAATTATTATCGTTATGCATAGATTTAATTTTTGGTTGCCTTTTATAAACAAAAAATTTATTTCTTAAATTTTTATATATAATTTTCAATTTCAGTACATTAATTTAGAAGGATGTGAGAGATATTCTTCGCAGGAATAACCTATGTGAGTTATTATCACTGAAAATTCGTAATCCGTTATTTATCAATTTATTTTCAAACATTTATTTTTATTTTTTATTTACAGGACGAAATAGACGGGGTCAAACTCGAAAGTTTATGGTTTGTAATTTTTTAAACGTTATCTAATTTATTCATAATTTATTTACAGCTTTATATAATTTAAATATTCAGTCAAAATGGAATTCTAAGGAAAAAAAAGAAATGGGAAAAGATGGCAGTTA